TATATATATATATATATATTTATTTATTTATTTATTTACATATACATTTATATATACATTTAGATTTATGCCTTTTACACTACAAATATGTATTCGCAATCTTTCACATTTTTGCGTGTATTTTTGTTTATCTTTTAGAGAAAAACATTACTGAAGTATAAAGAGTAGGAAAAATTCTCGAAACACCCACATTTTATGCATTAATCATTGAAGTTAACACGAAGAAGCGAGAAATGAGAGAAGGAAGCGTCGAGCGAGCTCTTCTGCCCCATTATTCATTTTTTACACACAGATTTTTCATTAACTCCTACAACTTTGAAACTGAATCCTTTCCATCGAAAGAATCTAAATTTAAAATATGTGCAAAGTAACTGTCCCCACCACATTTCTATCATTTATTCAATTCAGTCGCCAAAGTGTAATTATTTTTCTCGATCGGACGAAGTTTAGTCCAGATTAAAGTTCGTGCATTGCCAAAAAAACTCTGCTTTGTTCAAGTCATGAGATGTTTGAACATAAAAGACTGAGTAAGTCATGATTTAGGTGAATTGCAGGCGTGATCTGAAGTAATAATTTGGGCATTTACAAGATTCATATGGTTATATGTGATGTCACACAAGCATGTGCGTCATAAAGTTGTATCTCTAGGCTTATTTTTAACTTGCACTTACTACTGTAGTATTACCAGTAACATGGACTGAGTTAAAGATGATGAGAAAATTGTTTCGTTGCAGTTTTCAAATTCAAATCTGAATTCTTACAATCGTATGAGAGGCTATCAACAAGGAAATTGTTGCCTAGTAAGTTCCATGCCACGAACTCTTTTTGTAGGGAACATTTGTTCTTTTTTGCCACTCAAGAAGTGACCTTGAATTAATTAATATCGCACAGATAGTTTTGACTCAAAAAACAGTAACACAGTAAGGCACTCGTAACCACCGTCTTGATTCTCTATTTTTTAAAGATATGAGGTGGAATGCAAAAGATATAAGACTGTAAAAATATGTAATTTGCGAAAAATCTTCTAGTGTTATTTTATTTATATGAAAGCTACAGCGTTTAAAGGGTGGGATCCTTTCAGAATAAATAATGTTTTTTGCGTTCCCTTTATTTTAAATTTAGAACAAAAGTAGTTGACAACATTTATTGACATATTTTCCTTTAATTTATTTTACCGATATAACAAAGTAATCCAATTTTTCGACTTTCCAGTCACGTCTTTGCAGATTTAGATTGTCTTGACTGGAATCAGTCGCTGAAATCGTCAGACGGAAGTGAATTTCTGCTCCGAATAGCGTTGCATGTCAGAAAGTCTTTTACTTCCTAATTTTTGTCATTCACTTATTTGCCATAAAACAAAACATTACTGAAAAAATTTTGCTGTAAAATTTGCTAATAACAAGTATTTTTTCCACAATGCAGCATTTATTTGTTAGAATATGCGAACAATTTGAAAAATGAGCGATAATTTCCTCTCATACACTTATTTATTTAATTACTTATTGATTAAGATTGACCATTGAAGCAAATGCCATTTTGCATCCGAAAATTCGGTGCAGGTTTTTCTTAAGACTTGTTAACCGTATGAATTACCATGGAATCTTACTGCGCCGCAGTTATGTGCGAAATTAAAATCAAGTGTTCAAGAAAGTTTTGAGAATATACAAACGAGTAGAGAAAATTTTTGCAGCTTGCGAAACATGAAATCACAAATTACTAAAACGTAGATTTTTCAAGTTTTTGTCAGCATTATATCCGGAACGCTGAATACTGCAGTTTTTCTCCAAGTGACAGAACTGATTATTGAAGCTGTTTTTTAAATTATTCTGATTCACATGATGCAACAATGCGACAGAGATTATCGATATAAAATCATTGAATTTTCAATCTACTTCAGACTACACTTATTGTTTGCATTTTCAGTACGATTAAGTCAACTTCTTGATCAGAAAAGAGTAAATAGAATGAATCAAAGATACACAACATTACAAATCTAGCATTTCCACTGCTTATGATGGTAATTAATTATCACTATTCGAAATTAATAAACTTTTAAAAACACCAAAGCATTTTCTTACCATCAATCGATGTGCATGGAACGTATTTGTGGCATAACTTTTAAGTCACCTAATTCTATTTCACTACACTATTAAGTTGAATATTGTATACTCATATTTTTAAATATGTCCTTAAATTTTTTTTGCTCCAAAAATTGATCACTAGAATGAATTTTCACTTGCGTTAGGGTTTGTATTGTAATGAAAATTTTTGCTCATCATTGCAAACAGCATTACATATGAACTGTAATGCTGTAAATGATACCATCATCAAAAGCATTAATTGTTTTGCTTATGTGATCATACTGTATGTTCGATGGCACGCCGTTTCGCTTCCAACTACCTATTACTGGCATATCTTGAAAGAATTTTCCTGTATTAAAATCGTAAATGATGTTTAAAATATTTGAGGTGATATTTTGACTCACAGTATACAAGTGACCACATGCAATAAATGCATTCACAATGTTCTTAGCATCCATAAATTGTAAATTCCAAGATTTTCGTTCCTTCAGTGAAGTACAGTCACGTAGAGAAGCATGAAAAGTGCCATCTATAGCAGAACGATACAGAATCCATAAGTTGCCGTCATCGTTTTCCAAATCAATAAAAGAACGTGAAAAATGGTAGATTGGATTCTGAAATTTGAATAAAGATAAATTAAATGCATTTTAAAAAGCCAAAGTTTTTTACGTGAAATTCAACTTCAAATGGTCACTGAAATGACCTTGATACTCAACTTTAAGTTTTGCATCAAAATTACATTGCAGTATCAGTACAGTTTTGATTAAATTTTGTATTGTTTAAACGAGATTATGTCTTAGATCTTTTGGATCAATTTTTCATGGTGATGGCACGTCATAAAATATACCACTGAAATTTACAAATTAGAACTGAAAATAAAAAATGACAAAATTTACCGGCCAATTCCATTTTGCAAATACGATTAAAAAACGAATGGAATTTGTTTATTTTTCCTTTAAAAATAATATTTTAATCACTTTTTGCTCAATAAATAAAGAAATATGCCAATTTTGATGGATTCATTTCAAGGAATATACGAGTATTTAAGTTTTATTTAATATTAAAGAGATTGAGTTGAGAGCAGAAAAATGCGGATAAATTTAATTAGCAAACAATAACAATAGAATTTTAAAGTCAGATACTTTCGTTATGGAGAATTGGTGATTTCAGATTAAGTTACTTTGATTTTAATTAAAGCAACTTGCGATTCCTTCCTGATTAAACCTTAATAGAATCTTCGAGGTTCGTGCTTTCTGTCTCCACAATCAATTTATTTGAGATGACGTTTTTACACAGACAGAAATATTTACCGCGGCCTATATTCAAAGGCAATTCCAATTTTTTATTTGAATTAATTTCATGACAGATAACAGTCAGTAAAGTATTTCATTAGCTTTACGATTGATGTATCGCAGTAAATTACTTCATTTTGAATTAAATCTGTGCAAGGGATTCTCGGGAGACCCAATTTATTTCTTAATTCATCTCTCTTTCGATTATAATTATAATTTTCTAAGCAAGCGAAAATCTTACGCTTTGTATGAACTTTAATTACTTTATAAAATGCAATGTATATTCAATAATTTTATGAATATACATTGCATTTTATAAAGTAATTAAAGACTTAACCAAAAGTCAGATATTACAAACCTTTGAAGTTTTATTCACAGTTATAAGTCTTTATTGAAAATTTTAGTTGTTTTATCAATTTGTTTCCAAATTGATTGCGATTTTGGGTTGTCATCTGAGAAGTTATGAACTTTTAAGCAAATTAAGACAAACTTTTGATGCTCTGATTGTTGCATTGATCAAGTGGTGCTCATTAAGTTGATAAGAATGGATATGCGAGCTTGTTGCTTCATAATACACAAAAGTATCTTTACTACATGCTGTATTATCAGTACCATCAAATTGATTCACCTCCAAAGAATGCATCGCAAAGGGACGTGAATATCTCAGATCAGATATGTTACGATATTCAAAAACATTGTATCCTAGCGAATATTCAGTCTATAAAATTTTAGCAAAATTGAGAACAAGAATTAATGAAATATTGTTGTCACTCTATAACTTCTAACAACTCATGGAATGCATTTATTGATTCCTTAAGAATTTTTTGAACTTCTTGATTCTTAGGCTTCATATTAGTTTAAATTGATTAAATTTTGCTGGATTTTTTCCAGTAATCACAAACAAACTTTATTTTTTCAGCTCTGATAATTCAGTTTTACATCATTAAACTCTGTTACCAAATTTTTGTCCTTCTTGCATTAAATACACTATTTCATGAAATCTTTCTTTGTCAATTTATGAAAGCACCTTTGCTCTAGATGCAAAAAGTAAGAAGTAACTGATTTTGAGAGTTTAAAAAATAGTCTATTTAAAATTAATTCATTCAAAGGTACACAAACCTGGAACCATCGATTTCCATGTCGTACAATCCCACCAATTTTATTCAAACGTTGCGCCAAAATGTGTGGTTCCGAAATTGATTTAATGAAACTACATCCTAAGAATTAAAAAAAACCTTCACTTTTGAATCTCATATCCAGACTTGACTTTTGTTTTATATTTGCGAAAATGTTCAAGCTAACTTTATCAAGTTACAATTGATTATTTGAAAGCAGCTAAAAGTAATATTTTTGAAATTAAAATGAGACTGGGGATGGAGCAAATCTGTCTCAATAACTGCAATAGTAATGTGGATTTGGCAAAAAAATATTGTTAAGGATAAGGTCAAAAGGTTTTTTTTTCGAGTAGATTATCGAAAGAAAATGTTACTATAACTAATATAAACATTTGATTTTCACATTTTCCCTTTTATTAGTCATAATTAATTGCCAAAAAGTCTTAGTGCTTTTCATCAAAGTTACAAAAAATAAATCAAAAGTTCAAATTCCACCTCTTCTTTTTTCATATTTATTACACATTAAAACCAAAAAACGGAAGTAAATTACAGAGAAATCAATGTTTATTTACGATAAATTTCTTGCGGAATATTCCAGTTTTCAGTTTTATCCTTACCTGTTGTTGACCTTACTCCATGCGGCGACTACATATTAATTACCTTTTTTGTTTAGACGTATTGTCCTGCTGTACTTTGTGGGATTTTTTGAATTTTTTCGCTTATTTTGCCTTTTTTCACTTCTTTTTCGATGTTCATCACAAATAACTTTCAATGACTTATTCTAAAATGTTTTTATAGATGACTTGTTTGTTAGTAAGGGACATTTTTAAACTGGTTTGCATTTCAAATTCTTTGCCACTAATAGATTTAAACTTGAAACTTCATTGCACTGTCGTAAATCATCATTATTACTTCAAACTTAAATCACGTTTGGCAGAAGGTTATCAGTGTATTAAAATAGCTTTCAATCCTTACGCTCTTACAGGGATTTGAATTTCAATCAAAATTGGCATTGTTTTTCAAGCAAAATAAAATCAAAATTGAACATGCATGTATATTAGCTTAAAACATGCTATACTGAAGCCTAAGTTTAATTTGAAGTGATTAAAATTTTTTTCATGAAAAACTATTAGTAACCGAAAGTCGTGTGTAAAGTGGCAAGTAAAGTTCGGATAAGGCATCCGTTAATTCATGTTGTTTTTCATCTTTCAGGCTACGTTTTTCGCGCCATCCCACGTGGTTCCTTGTTACTTTTACACACGTTGCTTTTTCATTCAACTCAGTTTGAAATTGCGATGACTGAAAATTAAATGGACTGTGAAAAAGTTGCTAATGCATCTTTCATTCATTTTTTGTTTAGATTTCTTTCAATAAAAAGACTTACTTTTTGCAGTAGAAAAAATCCAATAATTATTGCTTCAATGAATGCAATAATTGCAAGGAAAATAATTGTTAGGCGATTGTATTGTTTGTAAGTAAACATTAGCCAAGTCGGCTACGTACAGCTTGATCTCTTTTGGAAAACCTTGCAAATACAATGCGCAAAAAGTTTATTTCTAATTTACTTTGTTCAAACTTTTTGTCTTTACCAATTTTTTAAAACGAAATACGACTGAGAGTGCTAGTTAGCAATAAGCTATGCAAGAATCTATATCTCAATCGGTAATATTTGCATCGTACACTCAGTAAAATGACAGCTAGCACCAAGAAATGCGACTACACAATTACTTCTGCGATAAACTGCTGCTGATAAATAGATAAAATGCTACTGTCATTCGATAACACTAAGGATGCAATGTTATAACATCTTTTGCTAAGAATTACTGGTAATTCATGCAGAAATACTGTATGGAATTTGCTACTACGAAAAAATACTGGCATAGAATTTAGCAGAAATGATGAAAACTGGAAAAAAAATGCAAAACGAAATCAATTCCCAGAAATGAAGGAAGTAGATAGAGAACTGCGCATGCATGGCTACAGCCATTCATATTTGGTTTTAGAGAAAAGTCCTGAGAAGCAAGCGGTAACACCTTTTCAGCCATCCATGCATTTGTCTACCAGATGACCTCTTGGCCTGACTTCTTTGTATCCTTTTGAGAGAAATGTTGTGAGTTAAGCTTAGCTTTATAACCAGGCATCCATTAGCAAAGATTTCTACTAACATTCATAATAATTACTTCCTTTCTGAAACAATCCTACCTCTGAAGTATGGATTCGTTTGGTTCTTTCTGCGTACATTTTACCTGCCATTTTTTTATTGTTTACTTGCTTGTTACTTAATTCATTATGCCTCAGTTCTCGTATTTACTTGTCATTTCAGGTATGGTATGTTCAAGGTTGCTCATATTAATTCAAATTGTTTGCATTTTATAAACATATTTCTATGCACTTCCAGTTTTATGCAAATGCAAAAAATTATTATTAGAATTACATGCTAAGTAAGCATCTAATTTGAGTTATGAACATTGTTAAAATATATTATTAAAAATTAGATGCTTACTTACTAACTTCAAAGCATCTGATTCTAATAATATTCATAAAACCTCGTAAGCGATTTTTCGTTGCACACTGCACATTTTCTAAATTTGATGTTTTGCCTATTTTGTTCTTTCACAAGTAATTCATTTCAACTGACGCGCGGAACAAAACAGTAAAAGTTTGCTTGCTTGTTATGTATAACCAGAGGAAATAAAGAATCAAATTATTAACATAACTCAAATTAATCCTAAAAAGAACAAATGCAGTTTTTTATCAGAAAATTCAGACAAAAATTCTAAAATTTCTTTTATTCTGTAGTTTTAGCATTACTTTTTACATTAACCATTTAAATATGTGCTATTTGTTGAAGCAGTTTGGAAAATTTTCATTTGCTAGGTGATAAAATCTTCGTCTCTTAAAAAGTAAACTGCAGCACACAAAAGTTAGGATTAGATAGCGAATAGAAACACGTAAATTAAAAATTAAGAGAATTTTAGATTACTTTTTGCTTGTTTTTAGCTCTTAAGATGCAGCTTTGCAAAGCAATTATCATTTCACCTGGAATGAATGCAGATTATATGAATCCATAAAGCTTGTTTTGGATTTCAGCTAATTTTCACCTTACTCGAATTTTAAGTTATGTAAAGGTAGTCGTTGATTTGACAACACTTACATAACATTAATATTCTTCAAATTTTTGCCTCAAACTATTGAAAAAAACTCACTTTATTGGATTCGTTCCCACAAAAACTAAATTTTCATTAAATGTTAGACATACCTTCGATTATCATTCATATGAAAACTAATGACTTAAGACTTAATCTCTGGAGTGTATCGAATCAAAGTTTATGGAAAATTAACTTCCAACATTACTTTCCCGATCGATATAATTTTACACATTCGCAATGATGGAATCCACAGAATAGTGAAAGAGATTTTAAAAGTTTACGTGTGTATTCATAATAACCTAAAATGTCATTAGAGTCTTGTAAAATTATTACTGTATTTTAACTAATCTCTGTTCATATATATTATCTCTCGGGAAAAAAGAGTTTTTGAAATAAGATCAGAAATATAACAGTAAAATTATGTAGGAAGGAAACTGAAGCTAAATGTGATAAAATTTGTGAAGTGACTTTTGTGAAATCAGATCGTGACATTTACAGTAATTTAGCCAGAATGTGTAAAAAAGGGAGCGAGATATTTATAAAAATTATGCTAATGATATCAGGGATAAGTAAGGAAATGGTGAAAAAACTTATTGGGATTGGTAAAGAGGAAAATCTTTTAATTTAAATTGCAATATTGGGTAAGCGAGTGAAAATAATAGTATTTGCATGCACAATTGATTCGCTGAAGCAATGCTGAAGTCATATTTAGGTTAGATTTTAGAATAAAATAATACTCTGCAAATTAAAAAAAAAATAAAATAAATGAAAAGAACGCTTGTGCTTCCTTTTTATATTTTTTCAAAAATTATATACAAACTTCTGTAAATCACATATAAGTTTGTTGCAAATAATTTATTTATTTCTGCGGAATGAAACTGAAATAGAAAGTAGTTTTTCAGATAATATTTTGTTTGCTTCGGTAATTTTTAGCCAAATCCTTACAGAGAAATGAAAAGTGATTGTTTATAAACCTTAATTGATTAGCTGCGAAAATTTAAGATTCAGAATCGTTTCTGAAAAGACTACTTATCAACTAGGCTGTGATAATTTTTGTTCTTCAAAGTTTCGGTTTTGAATTTAGTGCATTTAGTGCATAATAATTATAGTCATTGTAATCGAAGTGAATTTTATGAAAATTCAGGGCTTTTCAGACTAAGCCTAATTAAGTTTTTTATTTGAACTCAATAATTTTCTAATTTTTCCATTGACGATGGAATCAAAACAATTAGTGCGATAAGTTCAAAACGTTTTTTGGATTTTCTTGCAGTTTAATTTTGAGTAGGCCATTCATCAAACACCATGTAGCGATTTCATGGCAGCGCACAGTTGGGAACAATTTTGATTTCTTTCAAAAATAACAGCAAAATATGTTTGAAAAGTAAAATGAGCGTCTTAAAAGCATTGTAGTATACAAAATTACAGAGAAAAAGTTAAAGAATTCACAAGCAAAGCATTGGACAGACTGGAGAATATTCGCTCGACATTAACTTTCACAGATGAAACGTTAACGCGCATAATGGAAGTCTAATAATATTCTCTTTGGTTGATACATTTGACAAACTTCAGTGCTAAATTTATTATTCAACCATAAACTTATGAAATGTTAAAAAAGCATTCGAAGATCTTCGTGAAATGAAAGCTAATTGTGATTGCTTCAAAATGCTTACATATAACAAAACGAAAATCATCTGAAGCAATTTTTGATCAAGTTCATGCCTTTTTTTCTGTAATATTGAGTTTAGAAACTTTACAACATTGCAAGTTTCAAAAAAAATGAAAAAATTTGAAAATTTTTCAGTGACGAGCGAAGAAAAAATTTAAGTAAGAACCGAAAAGTAGACTTTAGCATAAAAATCTAGCAGTATTTATTCTGAATCGGAAGTTGCTTCAGTGACATGCACATTTGGTATTTCAGTCGGTGGCTTCAAAAGATGAACAGCTTTTGCTTCTTTCCCGGGATGTTCAATTGTGTATTTCCACTGTTCATGTTCTGATTTATCGACTGCTAATGTTCCGAGAAATGCAGAACCAATTAAATCATCACCTGTTTCTGTTCTAAACTTAATTCTGATCATACACTGTCACATGTAAAGTACTAAGTTTTTCACTCATTTTAACTGAATTTTAAATTTAAAAAAGATTGCAGCTTTTGAATGAGCTGCAAAAGCAGCACTGCTTCGCTACTTTTCGCTTACAGAAAATAACCACACAATGAAGTAATTTTTGATATTACAAGGATTTGATTTCGAAGAAGCTTGAAAAAATTTATGTATCATTATTTGAAATTAAAATAATTACCAACTTTTGCTGCACAACTCACTCACAATTGGTTGAGTTAAAAGAAAAAAGTGAATAATCGGCTTAAATAGCACTTTTTCCGCATGCGTGCTCACTTATTTACGGAAGCCTCCTACCTTAATAAGTCATGGACAGACACAACGATGCGTATATCTTGCAGGTCAGTCGGCTTCGTTTGCACCACAAACATTATTGCTTCTTTGTATACAGCGTGGGAAGTACTTCTGATCACACGGCTTTGTTTTGTTTGCATCTCGCCATTTTGTGTTAGATGCACTCGTATGCAGACATCTAATCACATTGTTACTTTCAAAATAATCTTAAAAATATTTTAAAATTCAGCGAAACTTATTCTCAGTACATCTCAAAGCGCAATTTATGATTTATAGAATTTAGTAAAGAAGAAAATTTCCGATTCTTCGTTAAACTCAAGTACAGGCGTTGCTCTGAATTGGTACGCAATATAAAATGAAATGACTTTCTTCTGCAGTTTTTGGTTAAGAAATACTTCTTAAAATGATTATAGTTAAAGCAACGATTAATTACTTCAATAATTACGTCTGTGATTTTGAATATTTTGGTTTTCAAACTGTTGCTATCACTTCGCTTATCTTAATTTTATTATATTAAGACTACACTCTTACCCCATTCTGATCGCTTTAAAAAAGTAACCATTGCACAATCGAAACAACGATGAAATTCAAACTCCAAACCACTAGTTTAGTCATGCCAAACTCTTTGTTTTATTTTTAATTAATTACTATTCGAGTCTACCCTATTTAATTTAAGTTATTCTATCAAAAAGTAAAAAGTTTTGATATGTCCAATTTTCAATTTCAAATATAAAACTTCAACAAATACGAAAATTAAAAAAGGAAAATTTATTTTAAATATATTTAATTTCCAACACTTTTTTAAATTTAATGATATCCGAAGCGTTATTTCAAAGTTAAAAATTGATAAGTATTGCGCTGACTTAGTGTCTGTACACTATAATAGGTATGCACTCCCTACACTAATTTCGTTCAGTATTTATGCGTTTATAAAAAGTATTTTTCTGTATTTGATACTGTGAAAATTTTGAAAAAATTTGGGAAAGACAATTTATGAATATTTTTATAATTTCTGCAGTGACACATTCTTCCAATTCATCTGACATTTAGATGACAAATTCGATCATTTGAATTTTATATGACAGAAACTTGCGTGTAATTAAGTGTAGCATGCAATTATGGGCTAAATTAATATGCTGACAACATATATTTTGAGATGTATCACATTTGATGATCGGTTCCAATAAAAAATGTATCAAAAGCATACTTTGACGAATATTTACGGAGCTAATTAAAAATTTTTTCACAATCAGTCGTTAATTAATTCATATAAATAAGAATTTGCATTATAAAAATGTTGTTCTATAAATAATTATAGAATATCATACTGCTCTTTCATTTATTTTTTAAAATGTACTACCACATATATCGCGCATGGATATTTTAGTCAAGCGGTAATAATCACCTGTAACCATTAACAACAAAAAATAATTAATTAGCTATGCAAATTGATTAATTTTGAAGGCAAAAAACAATAAATCAATTTAGAAATCAATTAAAAAATGACTAACCTGGTGGTCCGGAAATACCACCTTTAGGCAAATCTTCAACTCTGATAATATTAATTGTCAAACGACGTGATTCTGTTTCCAAACACGATGAAATGTATATTTTGCCCAATTTCTAAAGTTATATAGAATTAAATGAGGCAGAAGTACGGAAACTACGATGCAATACACATTTGGAATGCTTTCAAAAGATTATTCAATGAAAACTGAAAAAAGTAAATCAACTTTCTGTAATTCAAATTTATACAACTCAGCTTTCTTTTGTCGTAATCGAATTGATCATACTAAATCTGTCATTGCACTTAATAATTGAAAGTTAATTGGTATTTAATTACTACATGCAATTGCTCACTGCTAACTTTTATTCTAATCAACTTAAAACAACAATTATCCAATAATTTGCATGATATTGAGATTTTTAGCTTACATATTTTTAGCTTTATGGTCTTGAGAACGAGAACGATGTCTTGCATCAGTGATGGAAAACGAAAATTATATCATTTCAATACATTTAAGAAGTAATAATTCGGCAGAATTCCTTCGGATTTATCCTTTTGATGAATTTAAAATCTTTCGATAACAAAATCAAGCAGACACTTTTATATTTTATATATGTAATTTATTTCATAGCTTTGCGCACCTAAAATGGTTTAAAATCATTTGAAAATTATGAACTTTTCTGCTAGAGTTTTTTAACTTCAAAGCGATTTTTGAAACAAATCTTTCTCAAGTTTTAATGATGCTATGAGGAAAAATCTGCAACATTTTTTGACAAAACATTTGTTAATGCTTTCATTATTTGCATATTCAGATAGAATTCGAACAAAATTGAGAAAATGATAGCAACTGTTAGGAA